TTATTTTAATATAAAAATAAAAATTATTTCTTATTAAAATTATAAATTTTAATATAAAGAGAAAATTTTAATTTTTATTATATTTTATTAGTAAATTTAGCCCCTGAGTCATTACTTTTAGTTGTCATTGTAAATAATTTTTTTTTGAATTATATAATTATATAATTAATTAAAATAATAATTTTCTATTAATATTAAAAAAATATCATTTATTATAACTTTAATTAATTTAATTAATCTATTAAATAATAATTAATTGGTAAAGTGATAAAAACTTTTTATATTACAGATCACATGTTTATATGTATCACATGATTTGTGATATACTGATCTCGGATTTTATATCACGTGTAACTACACGGCTTTAACGGATTCCCAGTTCTCAATCCTGCAGGAAAAATGACTTCGCGTAGAGTTTCTTCTATACGCTCACGTTCAATTTCACCCTTTGATAAAGATCTTGAAAGAGATCGGCCAAAGAAAAAATCAAAACGCCGCCATCACGATGCAGAATACTCTGAAAGTGACGAAGAACATGCACAAAAAAGGAGAGAATCCTCAAATCCACGTATATGTCATTTTAGTTACCTTACTGGAAATATATCTTTACATTGTTATTTGCATCTCGTAGAATGCATTTTTATTAGCTTTGTAATTATGGACAGATGACGTTGATAATTAATTTATAGAAATATCCGAAGACGACTATTACTCAAAATCAACAGAATTTCGTACATGGCTACGCGAAGAAAAACAAAAATACTTCGATGAAATGTCGTCACATCAAACACGAAAGTATTTTCGAAAATTTGTTCGTGCTTGGAATAAAGGCAAACTTGATAGTATGTTTTTGTGTAAATTTTTATTTATTTTGCATCATGAATCTCTTAGAAATATAGATATTAATTTTGGTACAATATATATTATAGAGAAATATTATGATGGAATCAGGTCTTCGCAAGTCGATAGTGCGGAATCTACTCGGTATAAATGGAAAATTAATATTAATCAAGATGAATTGGAACAGGTTAAGAGCTCTGTTGATCGACAGACAAACGTCAAGTTTGATGCAGAGTTTAGAGCTCATATTGGTGTAAGTGGCGGTGACAATGGATATAGTGCTGGTTCTACAATGACAAGAGCAGAGAAATCAAAGGATGTTAAAAAACGACCGATTATTGGTATGTATATATGCCTTTTTTATTGATGACAATATGAAAATTAATATTTAAATGATATGGTAATATCAACTAGGGCCTACAATGCCGCCTCCATCGTCTTCAAGATATGATGAAGGTAAATTTATACTTTCGATTAGCAATCCAAAAATTACATGACTAAATTCAATTAATAAAAAATTAAAAAGAAATGGACGAAGAAGATCAGCAACGATACGAGCGCGCTTTACGAAAAAAAGAACGAAAGGAATTCCAAAAAACACACGAAACGGTTCTCGAAGAACTTGTTCCAAAGGCGACTGGTCGCGAGGCAATGATTGAAAAGAAAAAAGCACAGAATGCAAAGTTTCGACGAGAACCAAGTCCGGATGTCGAGTTGAATGATCATGATTTGATGGGTGGTGATGATTTTCAGACAAGGTAATAACGACGTTTATATCCCTTCTTAGAGTTAAATTTAATATTTACTAAATATGGTGTGGAATTTTTATAGACTTGCTGCGCGTGATCGCAGTCGAGAAATGCGTAATAAAAAGAGAGACGAATACAGAGCTGAGAAAGTAGCAAATTTACAAGAGAAAGCGACTGCTTATCAAAATAAAGAACAACAAACGATGGAAATGTTTAAACAGATGGCTGAACAGCAACGTAAAGCTGGCGGTGGATTATGGGCAAGCAAAAATTGATGGAATCAAAAAAGAATTTTGTCTTGCAGGTATACAATAAATAAAATAAAATTTATAAATAATGTTATCTAGTTCGTCTATTAGTAATAGAATTTGATTGTATTATTATTATAATGCATTTTATGAAATATTCTATAAAGAGCTAAAAACTCAATCAAGAAAAAGAAATTTATACAATAAAAAGAAATTTCAAAAACACACAAACTCAATCAATCAGTCAATCAATAAATATAATCCTTTAACTTCATCAACGCCCTCGCCGCCTCATCCAACGTCTCATCCGTTTTACAAAACGCGAACCTCGCGTAATTTTCCCCAAGATGATGATTTTCGGAAGAGTAAAATTCACTGGTCGGAATAGCGACTACACCGATCTCTTTTGCCATCCAATAGCACACTTTGAAGTCTTTTGGACGTTTTTGGATAATGTCAGGGAATTGGTAGTTTTCAGGGACGCGTATTTTTGATATATTTACCAGAAGGAAGTAGCTTCCTTGGGGAATAGTGTATGGAAGTCCGAGGTCGGCGAATGGCTGGATCAATTTTTCGCGTCTCCTTTCATAAATGGCTATTTGGTTGTCGAAAAAGTTATGTTCGTCGGCTTTCTCGAATCCAATCGCTGCTGCTTCCTATTTATAATATTAAGATCAATTTTATCTCCGTATACAAGAGTCCAATAAAGATTGTTTTACAAATCAATAATAAAAAATACCTGAAGTGGCGAATTTGTACAGAACACAATTCTTGTGTGAGCAGCAAGCGCTGTTTCTATTAAATGATGGTGACCAATTAACCATCCAACACGCCAACCAGTCACACCAAATGTTTTCCCGGCACTACCAACGGTTATTGTTCGCTCCCATAACCCCGGTAGATTTGCAATACGTTCATGCGTGTCAGGTCTAAAATATAAACGATCATACTGCACAGAACAATCAATCATATAACAAGGAAATTCAAAAATATAAATAAAGACATTTGACTCGAACAAAAAAATAGGTTTTACTAAACAATATTTACCACTTCATCACTTATAATCAGCAAATTATGATCAATTGCCACTTGTCCAATTTCAATCAATTCCTCTTTTGAAAACACTTTTCCGATAGGATTATGCGGAGTATTGAGTACAATTATTTTAGATTTAGGTGTGATTTTCGCACGTAGTTCATTGATATCGAGACGCCATTCGTTGGACGAGATCACTTTATTCCCGTCAAATTTTGGACGTAATGGCACATAGACCGGCACACCGCCGTGCATTGTGATATTTGACTTTTAATCGATAATGAGAGATTATTTATTTTTCAATTATGTGAAACGAGATTATATAAGTATAGATATATGGCTGAAAATCCGTTGGAAAAAATGAATTAGTTGCACGTTTTAAGAAATCGCTCACTGTATATTGATCAAAGAATGGTTCCATTAAAATTACTTCATCTCCATCATCCAAATATCCAGCCAAAATTGAAAATATTCCTTAAATTCAAAAGAAAAGAAATTGTAATATTCACTTTTTGATACGGTTAAAGTTTAGAAAAAATTGATCTCTTGCCTTCATTCGCGCCAGCTGTGATTATAATCTCAGTTTCAATATCCAGATTTCTATTATTAAAATAGGGTTTATACACTTTTGCTAACACTTTTCTTAGACGTATTCTTCCTTTCGGATGACTATTAATTATGTAATAAATAAGCTGTCAAATGCAGACTTCTAATTAAAAAAAAAACAATAATTATTGAATTGATTATAAATAACCTGTACTGATTATTATCGGTATCTGAAAATACAGATCTTGCTGCATCTTTTATGAAATCAGGTGGAGGATAACTTTTTTTATGTGTAAATATATTAAATTTCTGAGAATTTCGAAGGGTAGAATCAAAGGTAATTATTTCATTACTATTTTTCTATTCTGAAAGCATGAAATCATACTTCATGAAGCCTTGTCCCAAGTTAACAGCCTTGAGTTGTGCAGCCAATGGTGTAAAGATGGACCAAACTGAATAGTTAAAAGGTTTTGGATAGATATTTCATTTATGTGCACATTTACATAGATATTTATTTTATAAGAATTCTGTTTCTATGAAGTTACATTGGATTATATTTTTTTTAATAACATAAAATGCATCGATACAACGCACCATCTCGCTCAAAACTTGCAACTCTCTCAGCTTTCTTCAAATGTTGCGAAGTTTGAATTTCTTTTGAACTTGTATGAATATTTGTTGTTATATTACTACTGTTCATAGTTGGCAATATCTTTTTATTAAAAATCAATAAATTTAAAGCAGGTTGTCTTATGTAAAAAAGGTTCCTTTTATAAAAATTCAAACGCATAAACGAAGAGAATTTGAAGGTTCGAAAAGAGTCAAAGCTCATCATTATTACCTCAAACTATTGTCTATGAACGTGTAACACAACTTATAAAAAAAAAGTTATTAAAAAACCAGATTATGTTGACGCGTGTAATTTATTTCATGTACCTATTTAGTCAATACAATAGAACTAAAATGCTGCGCACTTCAGAAATTTTCTGCATGTATGCGGGTGATCAATTTTCACGTGCAACCAGTAGAATATCAAAGAACTAGGTTTTTTTCCTGAATTTTCAACGAAGTAAACGTGGTAGACATTGTACAGCGGGCCGACAAGAGGTGTCGGAACGATACTTAAACAAGACTTTATTATGAAATTTCGGATTCGGATTCTGAATCTGAATCACACTTTGATATTGCGTGGATGGATAGGAAAAACGAATCTTTGCATGATAACGAATTCAATAAATGATTAGATTAATACAATGGTGACGGAAAAAAGTGACAATTCTTTTTTTATGTTACGGTAACACTAAAACCAGTTAGAGGTATGTCTATCATGTGATCTAAGATAGAAAAAAAATATTTTTATCATTATTATTATTACATATGAGTTTTCTCACAAGAAGATATTTTCTTGTCAAGTTATTATGAAAACTTGAATATAGGAAAGTTATCAAACTTTAAAAATAATTAGATTTCAAAATATTATACAAATAAGCTATTAAGCTTGCTAAAATAAATAATTTAAAGCAAGATTTATATTTAAATTATTTAAAAAAACTTAGTCTTGAATAATAGAAATATCTTGGATGAATTATAATTAAAAAAAGTATAATGAGCAAGAGATAGTGAAAACTCTTAATAATACTTACTCTAATTTAAATATAGCATTACAGATAATTTGGCAAAAACTTAAATTTAAGATTTATATTCTATGAAAAATTTCTTTTCTCATGAAATCAATAAAATAATATTGACTTATCTAAACAAAAATTATCAAAAAAAAATGATGAAATATTATAATTTTCTCTAATAAATTCATTTTTAAAATATGATTCAGATTTATTATAAAGTTAAATAATTAATATTAATTTAAGAAATTATGAAATATCTATTTAAGATATATATAAAGAGTATTTCATATAAAAAGAATTATTAAATTTAAAACTTTTATAAAAATTATAAATAATAAATTATACATATTATTGTGATATGAACTTTTAGTAGAATATTAGTTAATTTTATTATTGATTACTTTATATCACAATATAATTAGATGAATAATTACTTATATCTTATTGAACATTAGCTTTAGAGAATATTATTTGTAGTTATTTTTAGAAGATTTTGCAAACACAATAATCATGACAAAATTATTATAACAAAGTTAGCAAAATTATCATAGCAAAATTAATAATGTTATTATAATAAAATCAACATTATGATACTAGCTAAAGTAATATTTAAATCATAATAAAACTAACATAAGTATCATAACAAAAGTATTATTCATATAACCTCTAAAATATATAAAAGTGATGTGTCTTAGCTAGTAAATTTAGATAGTAAAACAGTCAGATAGTTAATAACTTAGTTAATAAATTAATTAGTTAATTATTTAGTTTAGTTTGAGTTTTATGAGTTTAATTCTCAATTCATATTTAAATAGATTTTAGTTTTAAGAGAATTTTAAGAAATTTTTCTTGTAAAGTAGATCTTGATTAAGATCTATTATTTTGTTTTATTAATAAACTGAATATTATATGTCTTGAAATTATATTTTGGAATTAAATTATATTTTAACTAGTTACAACAAGAATATTATTATTACCTATCTTTAGATAAATCTTGAAATAATAGTATTTATATTCTTGTTAATAAATCTTTTAAAAACTTTTCCAAATATCATTATAAGTATATGATCACTTTTATTATGTGCTTTTATAATATTAGAATTAATACTCATTCTTATATTAAACTCACATTAAAAAGATAATAACTTTTTGATGTTCTCTCTGTGAAAAAATAATTTCATAGAGCTATCAAATTTAACTCAGATCTAGATAAAGAATTCTCTGTGAATTAACTAAAATTAGTAGAGAATTAAAAAGTAACTGAAGAAATAATTTTGCAATATATCAAAGTGGATCTAACTAAAGAAATCAAAATAGAAAGAGAAAAACTTTTCACTTAATTATTTATTAAGTTATATTTTGAAAATTATACTGAATCTGATCATTAAGTTATCTGAGAAAATTATATCATTTTTATCAAGAAGTAGTATATAATAAAATCTAAATCAAGACAAGAAAAGATTTTGCAACTTTAATTAAAGAAGAAACTGATCTATCAACAGAATAAATAAAAATATATCTTATAAACTATAACAAGAAATATTTGAGTTTAAAGATAAAAGAAGTATCAGTAAATTTGATAAATATCAGATTAGCAATGATCAGTAAATATGCTAATTATTACTGATTTTTTGATTATACTGATCCAAAATTTGTGCAAAACTTTGAAAATAGAAATTTTAGAGAAGTGTAATCTAAAGAAACTGTAATAATTAGCATAATTACAGATTGTTATAATTTTTTGGATAGAAATTAAATAGATAAATAATAAATAGATCAATTATATATATTATCATTTATTTTTTTTCTTTGAAATTTACTACAGGTGCAAATTTGATTTTAAAATTCTTGTTTTTTAAAATATATATTTA